TTCTTGTTGATTGATCACATTGTTATGATAGATAACGAAAAGTTCCAAAGTAACACTTATAGATAGTAGTATTGTGTCTCTTTTTTTAACACCCTTTATAAAACCAGGCTTTAAAAAAGGTTCCTCTCACGAATGAAATCCGGAGTTTATGTGATACTTGTGCAAGAAAAAAAAGAGGAAAAACAATAAAAATATAATACAATAATTCAATTTTTTTATGAAACTGCACATGGGAACACTTTTGTGTGTAGGCACTTCCAACACAACACTCCATATTACTACACTCTGCATCACCCTCCTGGGTGTAGTTTGTCTTTATATCGAGGAGTAAATTCAAACTTTCCTAGTAATGCATTCCAGCACTGTCACGGAAAATTATACAGTAAAGTGTGCCATACAATTACATGTAAAACTCAATTGCATGTTGCCTAGGACCGTTCTACTCTTAAATGTCTTTGTTTTTATTTGTTTACATGTATGTATGCCTTTGTGGTGCCTTTCTGCGTTTTTGTGCATATCTGCCAAAAACGTATTTTGTCCAACAGTAAACAACCACATTACAAAAGAGTAAAAAAACACAAAACGGAACAAGTTAAAATACATTTAAGAAATTATTTACTATAATATTAGTACCCTTGTTTCCCAGAAAAAAGTTATAATTTGACAGTTTAATGTAATTATGCAGTTATAAGAAAAAAAAAGCTTTTTAACTTTTGTATTAATAGTAAAAAAAGATATGTAACTACGTATATCATACTAATACTCTGCTGAAGAGTGAAATATACATCCGAAATAACTAGTATAATAGTTCAATAAGACGTCTATTTTTCTATCTGAGCTACTTAGCCAAACCATCGTACACCGTAGCATTGGATCAGGTGGCTAAAACTGCTTAAGAGGATTTGATGGGTAGCACCTGTGTGCTACATAAAGTGTACAGGGTCAAATTGGACATCACTAGCCAAAGTACTCACTACACTAGGCAGAAAATGACTCACTTAAAACTTGATGACATCCTCATTTTGTCACTATGTAGAGAGCCTATACTAAGCTCACGATCATCAAGTGTATTCAGGTTAATCGTTAACATGTTTTATCATAACTATGTGATTGGTAAGAAAAGGTATTGAATAATTTAGGAATTATCTGTAAAAACAGGACATTTTATTCCCATTAGTTTAAGCTTTCTTTATGGGTTCTATGGTTTCAACTCGTTCCATAAATTGAATTGAAAGCTCGTAAATAATCACAATGTTTGTTGCTAATTATAGATGAGAACTGCGTTTTTGGATGAGTTTAAAATACTGCTGAATGAAACATGTTACACAACTTCTTGATCAGCATTAAGTGTTATACGTCTAATAACACTGTAAACGTATATTTACGCGTATATTGATAACTCACAAGACGATAAATATACATAAAAGATGGTAAGTGGTTATCGATTTCGATTGGACACGCCAATCATCATTAGACCCAATAGGTTGCGTTAGTTAGGGGTTAGTTAACCAATTGCTGTGGCGGGGGTATGTGATCTGTGTGACAATCATTCGATTCAATGAAATTAAATGTTATAAAAAATAATCAACAAGGTGAAACGCAAATAAACTCGCTTACCCCATAACTGCCAGGGACAATTGAATATTTGGGTGTGCGTGAAATGAGCCAACAGCAAGACTAGTGACACCCTAGAGCCCAGTAAAGTATGGTGTAGTGGTGGGTATATGTATCGAGTTGCTTGGGCATGGTAGTGTTGTGCCCAAAACCTTGTTGGACATCCAGATTTAGTCGCTATAGAACTTCTCCCTCCTCAAAAACTTAGTAGACTAAAAATTGTTTTGAAATAAATATTAATCTTTTAAATTAGTATCTGATACTATAGATACTTCAATTAACACTTCTTATTACTGAAAAAATTAAATAATTAGTTAGCAGCTGAATTGCAATTTTCTTTAGCTTATACCTAAATAATCTGTTTAACATGATATTTTTTATCATATTTCCCCTGAAATGTTAGGAAATAATTTTAAAAAGTAATTTCCTTAATAGCTTAAAGGCACAATTAATGCGTGTTAGGTTTTAACAGGATACAACTGACCAAAACTGAACAAATAATAGTAGACACAATATTGATTTTAATTTAATAATTTGTTCACTAAAATATACTTCGATGAGCCGGGAATTGGTTTTCTCATTCAATAGCTTTTGTTTGTAATACACCTCTAATTAAACACTTTTGTTCATCATGTATGTAAACGTTCAAGTAAATTTTGTGTTTAATTAAAAGAGACTGTTTTCCTCAATCAGTGATGAGATCCACCGTAATATTACAGGGTATTTACAGAATTTTTTGTGCCCGAATATAATTAAAAACTGATAATGTTAGGGCTATATGTATTCATTTATACCCAACGGTTTCTCAGTTTAATATTTTTTTTTTAATCATACGTATAAATTAAAAACATTAACAAGACTGCAGAGACTACAATATTAAATATATATTAATAGGCAAGCACGTTTCATTAAAACCTTTTTTTCTCAGATCGTGTACATCACAGGAAAAATCTACGCATATTGTTAGATATTGTCCTGTAGGTGTGAAGAATCCCTTTTTCATTGTATTTACATGCATTTACAACGTAAAAAAAGAATCCCTTTTTTTACATCGCTAAAAGTTAAAATAGGCTAGCAAATAAGCAAAAAATGGATAAACATTTTTACAGAAAATTAACATGGGCCTCATGGGTTGCCACACTGAAGAAATAACAACGAATTACTAGCAGGAAAAAAATTGAAGAAATTCCAAACACAACTAATATATGTTACAGAGAATCGCATCACGTAAGATGAATTATCAACATTTCTATTTGCAAATTGAACTTGAAAATCTAACAATATGTATACATCAGTTTTGAAATTAAATTGGTTTTGCTTAGTTTGTTTTTGCTAAATTGTTTTAATTTAGCAAAATTGTAGACAAATAAGAATACAAACTCATATTATAATGTATATTTATACATTTGTAAGTCTACAAACTAAACACAAAGCAGCTTGTTATGGATATTCCCTTTTACACTACAATGTTTTTAACCGATTGACAAACGTTTATTGGAGTCCGGAATCTACGTATTAATGTCCCTGCCAGCTGTCATCGTCATTTAGGGAACGAGCAGGTTTTTACATCCCTAGGGCCAAAAATCAGCTGCCCACTTACTTTCTTAAGACATTTTTTCAAATTAAATACACAATCAGTATCTATAGCATTGCAATAGAATTGTTTTATTGTCACCATTGCCTAGCAACTATTTATTATTATTTTTGCTGATTCCTCAAATGATTTCTTCTTTCTTCACATATAAAGTTGTAGTAATTTTGACTGTTAGTGTGCATTATAATTATGGTGAATAGTTGCAATAGGGTATAGTTTGGTGAAAAATAGCGTTCGTACCGCGGACCAAAATAGTTTCGCAGCTCTCGATCGTTTAAAAAAATCTCGAGTACCTCATTTTCGGCCCTTGGTACGAAATATACTTTTTCTATTCAAACACAAATTAGGAGAGCATAAAAGTAGTGGAGAACTACCGGTTTTACCTCACTTTAGACACGTTTTTCCCATGTTATTCTTATGGGGATTATTTTTGGCCACCAAATCTAAAATCCTGATCTTTGCCTGCAAATCCCTATAAAAATTGTCAAACCTTATTTCTTAGTTATTCCCCATAAATATATTCGATATTAAGCAAAAATAAAAAAAAACATTTATTGACCCATGTATGTGTATATGTATAGTAGTATAGGTTGTCGGTGCCGTTTTTTGGGGGTCGACATTTTTGGGCCAACTCCCCCCCCCTCCCCCCTCACCACTCCCCTCTGCCCCATGCACAATTGCTAGTACATCTACCATTCCCCTTTCCAGTTGATATATTATATTTCTATTTCAAAATCATGTATGTGCGAACTCGGCTCATGGCGCGGGCGCGCTCCTGACTCATGGTTGTTTCTTGCCTCTAGTGGTGACGTGGTGAAAACGTCACTCACTTGGGCTTGCTCCTTGCTAGTCTTGGATCTGTTGAAGTAATTTTTATAAATTTTTAATTTCTAGCTGAAAATTTTTAAAATTTCCAAAATTTTGAAATGTACGAAAAGTCTATAAATAGAAGTGGCACAAATTTTTTTTGTTATATATAAAAATGAGGCCCACCTGTCAACACTGCTCCGTGTCGCTCTCCACCAAAAGTAATATGATTCGTCACTACAAGGTAATTCATCAAATGAATGTGGGGGGTAAACTTCGATATGGTGGACTGTATAAAAAATGAGGGATGTGAGATATATTATGTTAAGATCAGTTTTAGAGACACACTGTGAGCACAAAATAATAAACTTTTAAATAGGAAGAAATGTGATTTGGTACCTTCCTTTTTACTGAAGTGATGTCTAGTAGACCGTTGACGTTGACGCACTTGATGTTTGCTGGCCAGCTTTCGCGTACGCGACCGGTAGTTGCACCAAGAACAGTTTGAATACAGTTTTTAACTATTCAGTTCACTTTTTTGTTAGGTGTGTCACAAATAAATACATAAGATAAACATACGATAATATAAGTTCAATTTATATGCCACAAATAGAGTAGGGGAATATTATAATACAAAACTAGGGAAAATGGCGAGAACATGATGCCGGGTTGAAGAGTACATGGGGAATGGGGGGAATTGCCAGACATCACGTGACAGGGCAAGGGTCAGAACAAAATATGAATGAAGTCTGGATTCACCTAGGTTGCGTAGATGCTTGAATACGGAACATGCCGCCCGCCTTGAACCATACATGGTTCAACAGATTCATAAATTGATTCATTGACTCATAAATGGGCACAAGTAATACAATGTAGATATATATACACAATAGATAATGATGACACACCTAATTATAAGATATGATATATATGACAATTATAAATATAAACATGAAATAGGACATTAAATAGAAATATTTTGTGATTAGGGGAGCGGGTACACCTTGGTAGCAGGGCGACAGAAGATTCCTCTCGAAGTCTTGATGGAGACAACTCGAACGATGCCATCTGCTCCAGGTGATGTCTTCACAATGCGACCAAGAGGCCAGAGAAGTGGTGGTGTTTTTGGGTCATGGATAATGACTAAATCGCCTACTTCAAGATTCTTGTTTGGCTTTATCCACTTTTTCCTTTGTTGAAGCTGGTGCAAATACTCTTGGTGCCACCTTCTCCAGAAGCGTTGATGTAGAGCCTGAACTGTTTGCCAATGCTTTAGTCGATTGTCAGGAATATCGGATACATTTACTTCAGGTACTGCAACAAGAGATGTCCCGATGAGAAAATGACCTGGGGTGAGTGCTGTGATGTCAGATGGATCTGCTGATAGAGCTGTTAGTGGACGAGAGTTCAATACTGCTTCCACCTGCGTGACAAGGGTTATCAGCTCCATTAGTGTTAGAATTTGATCTCCAATTACTCTCTTGAGGTGGCACTTTGAGCTCTTTATGGCACTCTCCCAAAGGCCTCCTTGGTGAGGCGCGGCTGGTGGTTGGAAATGAAAATTAATTGAATGATCGAGGGCGAAGTTAGTGAGAGCATCTTGAGTATTCCTTTCATCAATGAAATTCTGGAAGGTCTTATTCAGTTGCTTGGAGGCACCGACATAGTTCGTTCCACAATCAGAGTATAGGTGAGCACAAAGTCCACGACGAGAAACAAATCTTTTAAGAGCAGCAATGAATGAGTCCACTGAGAGATCAGTTACAACTTCCAAGTGCACCGCTTTTGTGGTAAAGCAAACAAATAGGCAGAGGTATGACTTAAGCTTTTGAGAATTCCTAGTGGTGTGTACTTTCACTTCAAAGTGACCGCTATAATCCATGCCAGTATGATAGAATGGTCTTACAGGCCGTAGTCGAGTTTCGGGTAAGTCTCCCATAAGTGGAGGTTGATTTGTAGGTTTCAACTTAAAACATCTTTGACATTTAAAGATTACAGATCTGATTACACTACGAGCAGATAATATCCATACTTCTTGAGTGAGGATCGATTGCAGCAACTGAGGGCCTGCGTGTAAATATTTGAGATGATAGTGCATGACCAACAGTTTTACAACATTATGAGATTTAGGTAACAGGATTGGGTATTTGGCATCTTGAGTAAGGTTTGAATGTTTCAACCTACCGCCTACTCTTACCAAACCGTTATCGTCAATGTAAGGTGATAACCGAGCCAGTCTTAAGCTGCACTGAGTGCCCTTTTTCAGAGCTGTGATGTCATCCTTGAAAGATGAAATTTGAATGAGTTTGAAGAGATTCATTTTAGCAGAAGAGATCTCTTTATAACTAAGTTGTCCAGCTAGTCGGGCGTTCCCACAAATATTATGGATGAATCGTAGAACATAAGCAGTGACATTTACAAGTTTTCTAAAGCATGAGAATTTTTCAAGTAAATCAAATCTGTAATTTTCTAACTTTTCAACGTTAACTAGGACATTCAAGGGATTTGGTTTGACTTCAAGAGTGTCTTGATCAGTGATTAAACTGAATTCGGGCTTTGGTCAAAGATCTGATGACAAGTATAACCATTCAGGTCCCTTCCACCACAATTGGTGGCTTAAGAGTTGAGATGGGGAGAGTCCTCGGGTTGCACAATCTGCTGGGTTGTCTAGGGACTTGACGTAATGCCATGATTCAGGAGAGATTAATTCTTGTAGTTCTGAGACACGGTTGGCCACATAAACTTTTAAGCGATAGGGGTGAGTGCGTATCCATGTAAGAACAATGGTAGAGTCACACCATGCATACATCGAGTCAATCTTAATGTGGGACGAAAGAAGATTTGAACAGTATTGCAGGAGCTTTCCAAGTAGGTGAGCACCGCACAGTTCGAGACGAGGCAGAGATACTCTTTTTAGTGGGGCGACTTTAGATTTGGCCATTATCAGATTAATTTTAACATCATTCGATAAGTTGATCACACGGAGGTAGACTACTGCAGCATATCCTTTCTCCGAAGCATCGCTGAAACCATGAAGTTCTGCAAGCTTATGAGTTGAGGTAAAGATGTAACGTGGGATCCTTAGGTTTTGGATCACGGGTAGTTCTTCTAAAAAGGAAATCCATTTTGTTCTTATCTCATCTTGAATTGGATCATCCCATTTTAGACCTGTGGTCCAAAGATATTGAATGAGTGTTTTAGCCCAAAATATTACAGGTGTGAGAAATCCTGGGAGATCATAGAGTTTAGCGATTGTTGAGAGAATCATTCTCTTGGTTAGCAAGTGGCCTACTTCAACATTCTTTACTTTGTATGAGAGCATGTCTGTCTCTGGGGTCCATCTTAAACCCAATACACTGTAGAAGGCCTCACTACCATCAGTCAACTCCACTGGTGATTCTTTGTGTTCGACTGGAATCTGATCCAAGAGTTGGGGTGCATTACTGATCCACTTACGGAGTTCAAAACCGCCTTTAGACAGCAATGTTTTCAGTTCATTTTGAGCTGACATAGCTTTATCAAGATCTTCAGCTCCAGCTATAATATCATCATAGAAGATAGACTTGGTCAAGATATCAGAAGCTTGTGGGTATGGTTGACCTTCGTCCAAAACTAGCTGGTGCAAGGTTTTGATTGCAATAAAAGGGGAACAATTAAGCCCATATGTAACTGTATTGAGTTTGTACGTTTGGAGTGGATCATCTGGACTAGCACGCCAGTATATCATTTGATAACTTTTGTCCTTATCAGAAACCAAGATCTGACGATACATTTGACGTATGTCACAGGTGAATACAATTTTATGACATCTAAAATACAATAAAACATCACTGATATCATTTTGAAGTTTGGGACCAGGCATGAGAATGTCGTTCAATGATATGCCATTAGTAGTTTTAGCGCTGCCGTCAAAAACAACACGTATTTTTGAATTCGGGGGATTCTCCTTGAAGACACCGTGGTGAGGCAAATAATAGTATTCAGAGGTGGGAGGTTCTTTACAAATAGTCATATGACCTGATTCAATGTAGTCATCCATAAATTCAGAATAGAGCCTTTGTAACTCGGGTTGATTAGAGAATTTCCTTTCCATCGAGCTAAGTCTCAATTGTGCTTTGGTACAAGATTCACCAAGAGGGGAATGATTTGGTTTCTTGGGCAGCTCGATTATGTAACGACCTGAGTCATCACGTCTATGGGTGTTTTCAAAATGTTGTAAACAGAGGGTATCTTCCTCAGTCTGAGCCTTGATCCGTATTGGGGGTTCTTCTAGCGTCCAGAATTTTTGAAGTGAATTATGAAGATCCAAATCATGAGTTGTCAAGAGTGAGATGGGAAATGTGTTTGATGAGTTTCCTGCTACAGAGGCTACAGGAGCGAGGCCCATCACAACAAAACCAAAAATGGTTCCAAGAGCTTGAGGTAAATTTTGTCCTAATCTATGCTGTTCGCCTGTGAGGGTTAGGGCAAATAAGTCTGCACCGATAAGTAAATCTATCTCTCCAGGCTGATCGAAACAGGGATCGGCTAGGATAAAATGTTTCAAAGATTCCTTAACCTGGTGTGAAACTGGTATCTGAGGCAGGGGTGATGTGATACTACTCAAAACCATACAAGGATGGTTTTTAGCCAAAGGATTTCCATTGATCGCAGACATGTTGACATGTACGATACCTCTAGAATTAATAACTGCACCAGAGATTCCTTTTATTTCATCATGGAGTCGAGTACGTGGGGCGTTGATGAGTTGAATAGCTTTCTCTGATATAAGGGTAAGTTGGGCAGCGGAGTCGAGCACAGCACGGAGTACAGTATGTTGACCATGTTGTGAAGAGACATGAACTAAACATGTACCAAGAAGGATTGTGGTTTTAGTTGGATTGAGTTGACTAGACAATCCTACAAAAGCGTTAACGTTTGTAGAAGCAGTAGGATTAATAGTTGTTGTATTCTTTGAAGATGAATTAGGTGTGTAGGTCTTATTTTGAGGAGACAGCTTAGTTTGATAGCTTGACTGTGCCTGAAGTGAACTACGTGTGGGCTCATGCAATAGAGTATGGTGATGTTTGGAACAAATCTGACACACTTTACTTGAGGGGCAGTTGAGTGTGTTATGAAGATAACCGAGGCAGTTTGTACAAATCCTATTCTTGCGAATAAACTCAGATCTTTCACTCACACTTCTAGCTAGGAAAGCTTGACACTTGTATATGTTGTGATCTGCAGCTTGACAAAATCTACAAGAGTTGGTTGTGGCGACAAGAGCAGTTTTTGTATGGTTGGTGAAATGTGGCTTACTTTCACGCGTAAACTTATTAGGCCTAGTTATGTTTGTAGGACACTTTAGGCCAGTGGAATACTTTGAGGTAGATGGTGAACTGAGACAAATACTAGCACCTTCTAAACGTTTGAATTCCATTTCAAGAAAGGTCATTAAATCATTAACAAGAGGGATCTCGTTGTTTAAGGCGCGAGAGTCTTCAAAAGATTTTCTAATATCAGCTGGGATCTTCTTTAAAAGTGTTAAGACTAACAGGGTGTTTTCAGTTGTAATGTCATGATTTAAGTTTTTCAAGGCTTGAGTATTTTCCTTATATACAGTGAGAAATGATTGTAAGCTCTTAAGCGAACCACTAGTAATGGGCGACAAATCCAGAATTTTTGTAACAAGCTGAGTGACAATACGTCTCTTGTTTTCATAGCGATCCTTGAGAAGTCGAAGGGCTACCACATAGTTTTCAGGAGTAATATTAAGACTCTTAACCAAGTCTAAGGGCTCACCACTCAGGGCACTAAGCAAATACTGAAACTTATTCACTGGGGAGACAGAATTATTCGCATTGACAGAGGCTTCAAAAATATTATAGAAACTAACCCACTCTTCATAGTTACCACTAAATTTAGGCAACTCAAATTTAGGCAGGCGCAGAGAAGCTGGAGGTGGAGTAGGTGTTACAACAGGTTCAACTGGCAAAAGAACTTTAATGTCACTTATAAGGGCTACATACAAGTCAGAAAGTTCATCATGCATTGAAAATGATTCCTCCTCATCACAATCAGAAGCAGGGTCATCAGTCACAACTCTATTAAATAAAGTTTTAAAGTCAGTAAATAGATCTCTGACCTCCTCATTATAATTGTGTAAACGCTGTATATTAGCAGGAGTCAATTCTTGACCTTCAGTTCGAGGAAGTTGGTTTGACAAATATTTATTTATTTTCTGAAACCTGTTTTTAACAAGTTTTGCTTTTCTTTGTAGGGTAGTGAATCTCATCATGAACAAACAAATTAAATAACACACAACAAGAATAGATGAGTTTTCATAAAATAGCCCAATATCTTAAATTAATAATGATCTCATAAATCTAGGCCTACTGAAGTGCATAAATCAATTTGCAATTCAACTTCAATAGTAAAGTGAAGTCAATTATCAATTTGTTATTATCACCAATAATCTCTGTTGACAATAATATTTACAATAATGAATAAAGAGAGTATAGCAATAACAATAATTACCAGTTTTCTCCAGTTCAGGACCCTTTTCAATTAGTATTTGATTAAATAAATAATGTCTTCATTTTTCAACAACATAAACAAACTTGCAGGTTATGTTGATATGTTTCAATTCAATATCGGGTTATATTTAAACAAACAGCTGATGTAGATGAACAGAGTTTTGATGAGTTGAGTTTTCAGTTTAATAGCAGACAGGTGATTGGTTCGTCCTCAGTTCCACCGTTTCACTAATCTTGCAGGTTATTGGTTGCCATGTAGCGCAGAGCGATCTGTTGGCGAAGTTGAGAACTACCAACTACCAAGGTGTATCGCAAAGGACAGAACGTTGTTGCAAAATGGCGGACAATGGGATAGAATATTTCAGGGAAATAACTACTAACAAACTTTGCAGTTTTATTTATAAACCCAAATAATAAGACTGAATTGATTGTGAGACCTTATTATTTAAAAGGATTTTATGAATGAGATGTGAATAAATATTCAATCCTACAAATTTTCTACGCTTGATTTATTTCAAGACAAACTAGGTAGGCCTAACTTGACGTGATTTAGGTGGCAGTGACAAAATTGAACATGAAAATAATTGTCTGGTATGAAACAGGAATGGACATTAAAATTGTTCGTAATAATGTTTCACAAGACAAAATATTACCAGTTAGGGATGTGACACTGATCATAAACATTCATTTGAGAAATAAATTATTGTACTGTAGCAATTATATTTTAATTGGCAAATGTAGTCCGGCTCGACAGGACCAGCGAATGGGGGGTAAACTTCGATATGGTGGACTGTATAAAAAATGAGGGATGTGAGATATATTATGTTAAGATCAGTTTTAGAGACACACTGTGAGCACAAAATAATAAACTTTTAAATAGGAAGAAATGTGATTTGGTACCTTCCTTTTTACTGAAGTGATGTCTAGTAGACCGTTGACGTTGACGCACTTGATGTTTGCTGGCCAGCTTTCGCGTACGCGACCGGTAGTTGCACCAAGAACAGTTTGAATACAGTTTTTAACTATTCAGTTCACTTTTTTGTTAGGTGTGTCACAAATAAATACATAAGATAAACATACGATAATATAAGTTCAATTTATATGCCACAAATAGAGTAGGGGAATATTATAATACAAAACTAGGGAAAATGGCGAGAACATGATGCCGGGTTGAAGAGTACATGGGGAATGGGGGGAATTGCCAGACATCACGTGACAGGGCAAGGGTCAGAACAAAATATGAATGAAGTCTGGATTCACCTAGGTTGCGTAGATGCTTGAATACGGAACAGAATGTATGTAAAGTTTGTGATTTAATCTGTGAAAATAACATGACTCTAAAATCCCATATATTACAAAGTCACAAGACTTGTAATTTTTGTAAGAAAAATGTTGTTGGACATTTTAAAAGACATGTTAATTCTTGCATGAAATGTCCATACACAATGATTAAATTTGTGGGTGAATCGATTAGAGCTGAACTTGAAAATAATCTCAAGTCTTGTCCTCTACCGATAAAATGGACTTTAGTTAGGAGAATCAAATTTATAAAATATTCAATGGATCAAAATGGTAAATTAGTTAATGAAAAAGAATGTATATTAGATTTTCGAAGTCTTACTACCTTAACTATTGAGAAGAGAGATTTAAAGCCTCAAATTGAAAATGCACTTTCAAAGATTGATGCTTCCATACACAAATATCAAGCCCAAGGCAGTGGATGGATATATGACCATACTAAATATTGGCAGTTGCATGTTTACAAGTATAAACCCCTAACTCCAAAGTCATATATCCCCACACCAAAAAGTATTCAATCAAAACATGCTGTTTTAAATATAAAGAATTCTGACAATAGATGCTTTCTTTGGTCGATTTTAGCAGCTTTACATCCAAGGTATGCAAACAATGCTGAAAGGGTTTCTAATTATGTACCCTATGAAAGTCAGTTGAATATGACAAACATAAAGTATCCTGTGAAAATATCTGATATAGATAAATTTGAAACACAGAATGATATAAGTATTAATGTATTTGGGGTTGAATATGATAAATTTATATATCCATTAAGAACAACTAAACTAAATACTAGTAATACTCATATAGATTTATTATTATTGCAAGAAGGTCGTAAATCACATTACTGTTTAATTCGTGATTTTGATAAGTTAATGTTCCACTCTACAAAAGATGACCATAAGAAGCATTTTTGTAAGTTGTGTTTGCAACATTTTTATACTAATGATATATTAGAACGTCATGCAACATATTGTAAAAACTTTGATGCTCAACGAGTGGAAATGTCTAAACAAGATACATTACAATTTAAAAACTATAAATATCAACTTAAAGCCCCATATGTAATTTATGCAGATTTTGAATGCTTTATAAACTCTAATATACATATTCCATCGGGATTTGCATTTGTCGTAGTAAAAGATTCAAAAATTATTTCTGAAGAGTTGTACAGTGGCACAAATGTTATGGATGTGTTTTTTGAAAGATTATTTCAGACTTATGATTATATTAAAAATCAAATGGCAATATATATTCCTCTTCAAATGACCCCTGAGCAAGAGGTATCTTTCCAAAACTCAACACATTGTCATATTTGTGAAAAGCCCCTATATTTTGATCGGGTGAGAGATCATTGCCATTCTTCTGGCCAATACCGTGGAGCTGCCCACAATGATTGTAATTTAAATTATAAAGTAACAAAGAAAATCCCAGTATTCTTCCATTACTTGAAAAATTACGATGGACACTTAATAATGCAACATTTGGGAAAATTTAATAATCGTAAAATTAATTGTATAGCTAAAGATATGGAAAAATATATATCATTCTCTGTTGATGATTTAGTATTTTTAGATTCATACAACTTTCTGTCCCTTCCATTATATAAATTGGCTTCCAATTTGAACACATTTAAATTCATACAAAATCAACTACTACAACGTAAAGGTGTATATCCCTATGAATATATGACGGGACCAGATAAGTTCGCAGAGTCTCTACCCCCAATTGAAACATTTTACAGTTCTATAACTAAAGAACATATCTCTCCCAATGAATATGAACATGCTAAAAATGTATGGACCCATTTTAATATAAATAATTTACAAGAATATCATGATTTATATCTTAAAACAGATGTATTGCTACTGGCTGATGTGTTCGAGACATTTAGAGACCTATGTTTAAAGGATTACAAACTTGACCCCGTACATATGTATTCACTCCCTGGACTAACATGGGAGGCCTGTCTTAGAATAACAGGAATAAAATTACAATTATTCAAAGATATTGACATGCATTTGTTCATAGAAAGTGCGATTCGAGGAGGAGTCAGTATGATTTCTACACGTTACGCTAAAGCAAATAATAGATATATGGGTGAACACTATGATCCCAATCAAGAGAGTGTCTATTTAATATATTTAGATTGTAACTCGCTATACTCCACAGCTATGTGCGAGCCACTGCCTGTGGATGAATTCCGTTGGACTAATGAGATGGACTACAAATATAATCAAAATGATGAGTTTGGATACATTTTAGAAGTTGATTTAAAATATGATAAAAGCTTACATGATTTACATAATGACTATCCATTAGCACCAGAGAAAATGAATGGCAAATTAATACCAAATTTAAATGACAAAACTAAATATATTTTACATCATAAAGCATTACAAAAATATGAGGAATTGGGTTTGATTGTTACAAAATACCATAGAATTTTAAAATTTAGACAATCAAAATGGCTTGCACCCTATATTAATTTTAATATTGAAAAACGAAAATGGGCTAAAAATGATTTCGAAAAAGACTTTTATAAATTGTTAAATAATAGTCTCTTTGGTCGAACAATTATGAATCAACGAAAGTTTCGTGATATATATCTCAAGGATGAGTCACTATTAACAAAATATGTCACTAATCCAAGATTTGATTGTAGTAAAAAGTTTGATAACAATTTACATGCTATACATTTAAATAAATTGGTTGTAAAGTTTAATAAACCAATATATTTAGGAATGACCATTTTGGATATAAGTAAAGTAATAATGTATGATTTCCACTATAATTATATGTCAAAATTTAAGAATAAAAGATTTCTAATGACAGATACAGATTCTTTAATGTATGCTATAGTTACAGAGGACTTTTACAAGGAAATAGAATGTGACTTACACTATTTTGATACCTCTGGATATAGTAAAGACCATTTCTTATACTCTGATAAAAATAAAAAAGTCACTGGAAAGTTTAAAGACGAATTAGATGGTCATATTATGTATGAATATTGTGGTTTAAGACCAAAGTTATATTCTTATATTCCTCTAAAATGGTTATATGAAGAAGACAAGCAAGCTTTAGAGGTGAAGAAAGCTAAAGGAGCTGATGGTGCTACAGTTAAACATCTCCTCAGACATCAACATTATTTGAACTGTCTTGCAACTGGGCAAGATTACTATGAGAATGTGACAAGAATTAAATCTACAAATCATCATATTCAAACCTTGATCATGAACAAGAAAGTACTATCTTTTGATGACGACAAGAGGTTTATTCTGGAAGATGGCATCAATACTCTTGCGTTTGGTCATTATAAAATTGATCAAACATAAATTGTGTGTGTAGATATATAATAAATACAAATGTTAAAAAACTCTAGTCTTTTATTTATTTACCCTTACCATCCTCTTGATAGAATTGGTCAAACATAAATCTATATTTGCCATTATTCTTTGACCTTTCTTTGTCTATTACGAAAAAGCCATATTTAGTTTTATCCCAACATTGGTGGCAGAGATTTTTAAATTGGTCAAATGAAAAGTCATTACCAACATGATTGTGATATACATGTTTTAAATTTAAATCATCTTGTTTAGATAATATTAGGAAATTTACATTATCACGTAAATGTTTGTGTACTTTGCTGTAAGATTGACACAAGTAAAAACAGTTAATATTTTTATGTCGACCCATTGAGAAAAATTGTGTAATATTTGGACTATTTATGTCATCAAATACAACAACTGACTGTGATTTTACATCATTTGGTGTGATTTCACAGTCAGTAAACGTGTGTAATTTCACTTCATCACACAAACTAAATATTTCAATTATTTTTTTATATTTTTCTTGTTCTAAAGATTTAGATATTAAATATAAGTTTGTAAATTTTAATCCTTCCTTTCTTACAATTAAATTGTAAATTACAACCGTCTTCCCACTTCCACTTGGACCGCAAATAACACATCGAATATTGGTAGGAAATAGACCCAACTTCTTTGGTATATTTTCCTTAGTATGT